TAACCTTTGTAACTGGCCCAGAATCAGTCAGCAAAAATTGAAGTTAGAGCTGAGGTTTAAAACCATGGACTCTCTGTCCCTCTGCTATGCCCTGATCCGTACTGTCACCCTGATTAAACCAGAGAAGTACTTGAATTTTGAAAGGTGATCAGACATACCCTTTTGTTTCTTGAACTGGTTTGAGTTTTTAATCATGGGCCTTACAAATCAAGAGGCAGTTCCAGCACTCTAGGTTTCATGACAGAGATTTCTCTCTGTAGAGTAATTGCTTTCCACAGTGAACTTGCTTAAGAGCCAAAGCGGAAAGGAACTTACATGCAGTGAGACATGTGTTTCAAAAGCCGCCTTGAGAACCACCCAAGACATGTTGTGTCAATTATTTCCATCATTTTGAGGCTGAAATGTTATTTACCATTCTTAATTTTTTCCCATAATTTTATTGAGAAACAAATAGCAATGAGACAGTTTCAAACCAAATTGGTAGGACAGTTTCAATAATTATCACATTGCATACTATCTTCCTAGTGGTTAATTGCTGTATAAGATGCGGACATGATATCCAATTACAAACACTATTAGACCAAATCCCTTTATTCGTTAAGAGAATGTAACTATATATACATCCTAACCACTTTGAATACACAGATACAAAATGGACATTCATCTGCATCCCCTTTTTTTTGTTTAGTTCTGTTATTTGAATATTATAGGTGTGTTAACTCAGCAAAATATTCTAAAACAGTCCAGTAATCCATAATAGTATTGGATCTTCCACTTCACTGGCAATGTCAGAAATTGTTGACCATACAGTTATATGTAGAAGATGGGTAAGGCAATGATCCCGAGATCTCCAGAAGATTTTTGAATCTAGCAGTTATTTGGAAAGATTCTCACCCTGACTAACTATATATACTGACACCTGTGAACTAAGCAACTTCATTCTTAGTTTTGTACTCAAGCTAGGAGTTTTCTTTTACTTGTTGGCTTGGTTCATATAAACAGATGATGCAAGTCCCTTAAAGAGATGATTCTGCCAATCCCTCAGTTGGATGGGAGCTCACACCACACATGCGCTTGGGGGTTACACAGATGTAACAGAGGAATTTTCTTGTGTAATGATAGGTTTTCCCCAAATGGGGAAACTCCGGCATGCGTTCAGCATTTAATGAATGTATAATAATCTGGCCTGAAAAAGATAATAGGAACAGCACTTTCATAAGGCTTTCTAAGATATATGTGTCTCTGGGTTCATAAAAGACCCTGCCTCCACACTTAGAATATTCTATCATCTCAAGCTAGTTTTCAGCTCTATCTCAGATTGGCAGATTGCCCTGTTTTTCCAGCATAGGTTTATGTCACTTTTCTGATAAAGAAATGTTTCTTATTACATATTTCGTAGTGTGTTCACCTTGGTCAATAATGAGGGGGATTATTGCTCAAGTATCTAAAAATCTCTGGTGATCCCACTTGGTGTCTATGCTGCTAGCTTCCTATGGAACATAATTTTAGTTAATTAACTAAGAGAGTATTTGACTCTGTTGCCCAGGCTGTTTTCTGAAGTATCTGTGGTTCCAGTTTTACACATGTGTTGGTGTTGTCCCCTGTTACGTTTGGTGTCTAATTCCTGGCTCTGTCCCAGCCAAGATCTCAGGTCCTCATGGGATGCCTTCTACACACAGCCAGCTCTGCCAGGCTTTGCTCACTCTGTGCCCAGTTCTTCTCCACCCCCTGTCCTGTCCTTCTTTTATATACACCTCACATTTGGTTGCTGTTATCTTTATAAATGTTACAGTAAGTCTTACTGTTGTGTAGGGGGTGCTTTGGCAAAGTACGTCTTGGATGTCGCCTACATTTTCATGGAGATTATATCACCGTGGATAAGCTACCTGTTTACACAATCTGTCTCCTCTACCTTTCTTGTAGGAGACTTACCATATTATTGCACCACCAGTTTAGCAGAGAATTGCTACTTTTTAAGAAAAATTACTTTCTTAACTATGGCAAACGGCTAATGAAAACTCTCATGTTTAGAGCTATTACAAAACTTTAAAGCAAATATAGTCCTATAATTATCATTTAATAGAGTTTCTTTCTACTAGCTCCTAAAAGTAATTACATATTGAAGTAATCCAAAAGGAGTAATCACATTCCACATTCTATTAATAGCCTACTGAGTTACCAAATTTCTCGGCTGAGACTGTTTTCTGTAAAAAACATGAGATAATGGTTTATATCATGCTGAGTAAAAGCATCGAGTGACTTTCTCCATGAGTGTTTACTTCCATTATGCCATGTAAATAATCACTATTGTGCTCGCCTAAACTCGGCATAAGCATTTGGAGTCTTTAGAAATGTAAGGGGGAAAGCCATCTAGCACACATAAGCCCTTTACTTCATTTCATCTCATGCCATACGACTGATCAAGCTTCAAAGCCAACTCAGTGGGCAGCGAGAAAGCGGGGTGCCAAATGCGTCTTCAACACTTAAGTTCTTTTTGGGCTATTGATATCCGAGCACTGCTGTTTGGGCAAATGAAGAGCGAGTACACCCAGGACTAGAGATGCATTTACTTTGAAATTATCAGGCTTGTGACAGCTCTCAAAGCACAAAAAAATATGGAACAGATAAGAAAAGCACAAGAGGGAGGAAAAACAAATGCAAAAATGTTTGAGACTAATTTGTCAGGTCTTTCTACCTCTGTGCTGAGTTAAAAAACAAAAACTTTATGAGCCTTTGTTTCACTGCTTTTCAAAACCCACTACTATTATGGACTACTGGACTGTATTGGATTATTTTGCTGAATACAAGCACCTACAATATGTAAATGGCAATGGAATACCCATCTCTGACAAAACTAAACAAAAAAGGGGATACAAATGAAGGACCATTTTGTATCTATATATACAAAATAGTTAGGGTAGATATACAGCTACTTTCCCTTAATTCAATGAGAAGAAAGATTTGTACTAATGGTGTCTATGGACAGGATATCATGTCTGCTTCTTGTACTATGGATAAGCGCTATGAAGACAAAACAGCATGCAAAGTATTAATTATTGAAACTGTTCTATTAATCAGTTTTGAAACTATCTCATTGCTATTTGTTTCTCGATAAATTAATTTAAAAAAGCAAAGTCCACGGACAAAAAAAAAAATAAAAAAATAAAAGAAAACAAAACATTCTCCTAAGGTGGCCACTTATTTTTATTCAAATTTCAGAAGAAGCAAGAATGTGGCACATCAGAATGGTCAGTAACTTGTTGAGGTTGACGTTACATTGGCAGGAAGTCAGAAAACTAAATTTTGGTGTTTGAGGGCCCTGCCTGGTGTGTGTTACCTGTTATGAAAGAGTGCAAAGCTCATACTTCTGTTTTTTGCTTCTTTTTAAACATTCTTTGTCTACCTCACAGACAATAACAATCATGTGAAAGGAAAACTGTGTAATTTAATTCATCAATCTGAGATTCCAGGGCAAGTGTAAACAGAAAAGGGCAAACTACTTCAATTTCCATTTTCATCAGAGTCATGATAATTGTAGTAAAATATATTTGCAAGAATTTTATAATTTTCTCCTAATGCATAATGAATACATATTCCTTGTAGGAAAATTCAAAAACACAAGTAAGCAGAAATAAGATTTTTAAAATAATTAAATAACTCAAAATATATTACCCAGAAATAATTACTGATATTTTGTATGACATTCAAATCCTTTTCATTGCATATATTTCTTTCTTTAAGAAATGTAATTGTAAAAGCCCGGCCAAACAGCTCAGCAGATTAAAGCACCTGCAGGCAGGT